AATCAAATTTAGGACATGTTAAAGAAAGTAAATTTTGCAGAAATGTTAGCAATAATGGTAAAGAAGAATGTTTAGATTTTAGAGTACATCCTCCCTAAGGCATCTTGACACGAATTGATGAAATAGTGAGAGCTACATCTCTTCATACCCTTCCACCAAGTGGATTATTGCAGATGGAGGAATGGGGGAAGCTGAAAAGGAGGCGCACGGTCCACTCTGTTAGACGTGTAGAAATAATGAGTGACAGGTATGTCACGGTATTGGTAATCCAGTGGATATAAAGCAGCAGTAAAATAGATGGTTATGTTCTGAATGATGGGAATACCACTGGACAAAGACTGTTTTAAAAGCCAGCTTAAAGCTGTTTGTGAGTTCACTTCAGTTCAATGAACGATGCTGAGCCGACAGTAAAGAAGTGATAGGAGGTTGGGAGCTGGGGGCCTGAGGGAAAGTTGCTGGTCCACCTTATGCTGATTAAGTTCTTCCCCAACAAAAGAAAAGTAATTCCTCTGTTCTTTCAAAATATAAAGATCAGCTCTTAAATTGTAGGGCCAGAAAGAATAAATGGCCAGGCAGTCAGTGACCATTTTATAGTATTCCACTTGCCAATTTGGGGCTTCATAAAACTCCACACAAGGGAGAAAATGACCTTTGAAGAACCTTTTTTAGTAACTACTCTTTATTTTTAAAAACCATTTTTGTAGCTGTCTTGGTTGGTATGTATTGAGTGTACTTTTGTTATCTTAAACATCAACTCCAAGCTCACGGACTTTCCTTATATAGCTTTCCTCACTCCATAATTTGGCACAAGAATGCTTTGTAGTGCTGAGTGTTTTCTTTTTTCGCTGGTTTCTTCTCATAGCAGCACTAGCCTTTCACCTGATTTTGTATCTTATTTTAGAAATAGCCTTGCTCTCAGATTTTATTTTAAATTTTGGTCAGTCTGAGCCTTGCTGCAAATGACTTTTATGTCTGTGGAAGACAGAGAAAAATTTAAAAGTCAGCATAAATTAAATAAGAAAAATTTCACATGGACCTAGAAACAAAAATTATTGCAAAGATACTAGAAATGAATGCCACACTGCCCCATCTTTCACTCAGGGAAGAATTCGAAGACCAGAGAGGCTAAATGACTTGCTAAATGTTACAAAATATTGATTAAAATGTATCATTGTCATTGTTTACATGAAGGCAACATACCCTAGAGGGTTGTACTTTTAACACATAAAACAAATAAGCTATTCATAAGGAAGGGAAATATACCAAACTACCCCTCTAGTTATCTTTGAGAAGGGGGCTGTCAGTGTTCAGTTAGGAGCATCGTTATTTTAATATCATAATTAAGGCTGTGATCATTAAAGTCAGATCTGGATTTGAATGTGGCCTCTACCACTTATTAGGTTATTTGGGGAAATCTTCTTAACCTCTGTGGAAAGCTCCTTAACCTTTCTGGACTTCAGCTTCTTAGCCTGACAAGTAGAAACAACAACACACACGTTACTGAGCTAAGTATAAAGGAGTTAATTGGAAGGTCCTCACACCTAACGCCTGGCCCACAAGGAGCAGGTGCTAATGGCAGCCACTGTTGCTGCCATCCCGTGGTCACAGCTTGTCCAATAGGACTCCGAGCACTGACATAGGTGGCCATGGCTGAGTGACGTCAACATGTGTCTGCTTAAAGACTGCATGCTGAGTTAGGCAGTTTTTCAACACACCTTCCAGAGCGTTTTATCGTTCTGTTAATTCAGAGGAAGCACCATCGCCATCAGTTTTTACTTACCCAGTGGAAAAATAGCTAACTCTTGGGTACCTCAGTTCGAGCCTGATCTTTACTATAATTGAAATAAAATCACTGATCCTCTTCTATATTTTATACTAGAGAGCTTACCCTACATTGCTAGGGGACATTTTAACCATTGTTAAATAAAACATCCCTATTGGTACTCACTTTGGAGCACCCTACATTCCATAGAATTGCCATGTGAGAAGCAGATGCCCTTGTGACTGAATTTGTGCTCTTTTAGAAAGCACTGTTTTCTCTGTACCTGGTATAATACAAATAACATGTCTCTTTTGAGCAGCATTCTCTTGGCTTTCCTTGTATTTCTTGTAAATATCCCCCAGAGCCCCAGTTTTGCTGAGGTCACCTCATTGCTATTTATACCCTGGAACATCGCAATAAAATATCCTTTATTGTCAGTGAACATCTGCCTATACAATTTCTTGTGATGCAGTACGGGAAAGAATTGTTATTTATTTAAATATACTATTGCCAGTCTACCTAGAGATTTCAAAGTCATAGGTTGGAAACGCAAAGCCTTGTAATTTTGTGTGTGTGTGTGTGTGTGTGTGTGTGTGTGTGTAATTTTTGAATTTATTGTTTGGAACAGACCTAGATTGTTTGACCCATTTTAGGTACTGAGTAACAGCCACAGTAAAATACAGGGTGGGTCAAAATTAGGCTTACAGTTGTTTGTATGGAAAACAATACAATAATTAATAAATAATGATACAAGAATAAACTGCGTTTTGTGTACTCACAACTGTAAACCTACGTTTGCCCCACCCTGTGAATCTGAGTATTTTTCTCAGATATTTGTGATGTTGCTATTTATAAGGATGTTTTACTTTTCGAGTTTACAACTGAGGAAGCCTGTCATCATCATTAGTACTCATTCATTCAACTTCAGCACCTGTTTATCTCAGGAACTGGAGATGCAAATATGAATAAAACATAATTCCTGCTCTGCAAAATATCATAGTTCACTGGGAGAGGAAGATACTGAAATACATAATTACATTTCACAGTGATATGTTCTGTATACTAAATATAGAATAAAGTGTTATAAAAAGGAAGGAATAATGAATTTGGGGGTATATGGCAAGGTTACAAAGAGAAAGTGACATTTGAAGGATAGATGGGAATTTGCCATCTGGAGAGAGAGGAGCAAGGATGGGCATTAGAGAGTAGGAACAGCCGATGCAGAGGCCTAACGTCATGTTTGGGCATGCTGTGCAAGAAGAATGTCTTCCGTGCTCCTGAAGAAAAGGCTTTGTGAAAGAAAGTTGAGTCAAAGTTAGGAGTTTGAACTTTATCCTTTGAACAGTAGGAAATCATTAAAGATTTTTAAATTAGGGCTGATATAATCAGATTTGAGTTTGAAAACTTGTAGTCGTTTGGGTCCAGAGGAAGAAATACAGGTGGCAGATACCAATTAAAAAGCTGTTGTAGTTTTCCAAGCAAAACACAAGAGTTTATTTACAATGGGACAGTATCTGTGGAGATTTAAAAAAAAAAAAAAAGTCTCTAGATTTCAGCGAGCTTTCCTAGATGTAAACAATAGAATTTTGTGCTCAAAGTGACACAGGAAATGTGAGCAGGAGGGAAGAGGTTGGGGGGTGTTGGGTGACTAGGTGGATTAACTGAGATTAGCAGAACTGGGAGAAATGTAAAAAGAAAATGAGGATTTTTTGTTTGTTTGTTTTTTTGGTTTTTTTGGTTTGGTTTTTGTTTGAGAGAGCAGGGCAAGAGTTTTCTTTTTGCACAAGGTAGGTTCAGTGTTTTCAGGAACATTCTAGTAAATGAGTCTGGATCTGAATCTTGGGAGAAAGGTTGCCATAGTAATATTTTTGAGTTCTTACTGTTTATTTTTTCATTAGAAACTAAGGTTCTTAGAGGTCAGCTGATTATGGTCTCAGGAAGGTGGTTGTAGAACCAAAACATAGATTCCTAAGCTTCTTGCCAGCTAGGTCTTAACTGAAATGGCTTTGAAAGAACACATGAATCTTTTGATTTCTACTGTAATTGTCTTTCATTTCCCAGAGTATCTTTAATTAATTAATTAAAACTGGTATGTGTATTCACAATGCGTCTGTTTTCTGTACTATGTTCTCTGATCTTTGTTTTTTGTTTTTTTGGTGTTTTTTGGTTTTTTTTTTTAATTTTTTTCTTTATTGACTTTAGAGAGAGAGGAAGGGAGAGGGAGAGAGAGATAGAAACGTTGATGAGAAAGAACATCAATTGGCTGCCTCCTACATTTCCCCCACTGGGGATATGGCCCACAACCTGGGCATGTGCCCTAACTGGGAATTGAACCAGTGGGTGACCTCTCGGTGCATGGGTTGACACTCAACCACTGAGCCACACTGGCCAGGCTGTTTTCTGATCTTAATGTTATTTGACTGATGACAGATAAGTAAAGAATGCTAAGGATGATAGCTGAAGAACCCCAAACCTCTTCTTTTCCTCTAGCAAAACCTTAAAATTCCAAGATTAGGTAGTCCTGAAGAAAGAGTTATTACTTCCCATATGTTTGATCTATCTCAGTTGCCCTGTTTCTGAGGGTACTGTAAGTGTGAAAGAATGAAAATATAGTGCCCACTTCTGTAGGAATTTTAAAATACTTCTTTTCATGTTTGGATGGTTGACCTATGGTTCTTTTTGAAAACCAGAGAATAAAGTTCTTCAAAATCCACCCTTATCCCTAAATTTTAGTGGTCATTCAGCATTCATTGAAACACATGAGTAGTGTGGTAGTCTTTGAACAAGGCAAATCACCATACCTATCTGATACTCTTTTTTCACATATTATAAAAAATATTAGCCCACTATATCCACATGAAGTTCTAGTTTTAACTGTTACTGTCTAGGTTCTCTGTGTGGGTTCTGGGGCTGTGATATTTTCCTTTACTCTGTTCTTGATTGCTAGGAAATGTCAGCTGCAGGAGAGTGTACCCAGAGGTGATTATCATTCTATACTCAGTGAACCATACGGTTTGTAAAGCATTTGCAAATTCCTTCAGGATAAAATAGTTTCTATAAGTGTAACATTTTTAATGAAACTATTATTATCACCCATTAGAGAAATACAGCAGTTAACACGTGTGGATTTGTGGACAAGACAGGCACAAAAATTTTCCTTAAGAGCTCACTGAGTATTTTAAATACTTAAAATTAATCATGTGAATCCTATTTTTATATTCTTAATCTTGAATTGCAGAGCTTTTACTCAAGTGTTTACCTTTGGTCCAACATTTCGAGCAGAGAATTCTCAGAGTCGAAGACACCTGGCAGAGTTTTATATGGTGGAAGCAGAGATCTCTTTTATTGAGAGCCTTCAAGATCTCATGCAGGTAGGTACACACGTTTTAAAATCTGTGACATTAAAGTGCTTCTGTATACATTTTTACATCTGTGCATTACAGGTGTTCATAGAATGAAGAAAGTAGAGAACTACTTAATTTAGTAAACATCTGCTGAATGCCTTTAGTGCAGCAGTGAGGCAGATTTAAGTTCATATCCCAGATCTGCCATTAACTCTGCTATGATGTTACCCAACCTCAGTGATCTTTGGCTTCCTCAACTGTAAAATGAGAATGAGAGTACCTCTTTTATAAGGTTATTGTGAGGAGTAAAAGAAACAATATATATAATGTAAAGCACAAGGTCTGGCACATAGCAGGCTCAGTAAATAATACCTCTTGTTATTTCCTAGGCAAACAAATAATGCATCTTTATGGTTAGAGAAAACTCCTCTGTAGCTGTGTTGGAAAGCATCCACAGGAGCGGGCAGAGCTTGGTCTGCAGGACAGGTGATAAGGCTGGAGAGAGGTAGTCAAGAGATCATGAAAGATCAAGATCAATTCAATAGCATTGAATGCCATGCTAAGGAGTTTGGATTTAATCCAAAAGGTAAAGGAGAAGGAGTTCTCAGTGGGAGAGGCCATGGTCATAGTGATATTTTAGAAAAATTTTTCCAGCAGCATTATGAAAAATGATTTAGAGGGAGATAAAAATAGGGGCGGGAGCTCTTTTAGGAGGCTGTGGCCATAATCCAGATAAAGCACGCAAACTCTGGGATCGACCAGGATTTGTTTCTTTTATTTTTTAATTTTTTTTTAATCCTCACCCGAGGACATTTTTCCATTTTTTGTTCAGGTAGAGTGGGAGGGAGAGAGAGGAACAGAGAGAGAGAGAGAAACATCAACGTGAAAGGGACACATCGAGTGGCTGCCACCCGCACGACCGACCAGGGCCCGGGACAAACTTTAACCAAGGTACATGCCCTTAGCAGGAACCGAACCCGGGTCTCTCAGGACCGCAGGCCGACTCTCTAACCGCTGAGCCAAACCGGCCAGGGCAGGATTTGTTTCTTAACTCCATCGGTTACTTGCTGTGTGATCTTAGACAAGGGACTTAATTTCTCTGAGCCTCAGTTTTCTTATCTATAAAATGGGAATAATAATTCCTACTTCATAGGGTAATTCTGAGGATTAGACTGATAATATATATAAGGCATTTAGCATAGTTCGTGGCACTAAGTACCCAGAAACTATTAACTATTGATATTATGAATTCTGTGTTCAGTACCATTTTGGTTAACATCTTAGTTTGGATTTGTAATTACAAGATGTTTATTTCAGCAGTTTTTTTTTCTGTTTTTTTTTATCCTCACCTGAGGACATTTTTTTATTTTTTGTTCTTCAGATAGAGTGGGAGGGAAAGAGAGGAGAGAGAGAGAGAGGAACATCGAAGTGAAAGGAACACATCGAGTGGCTGCCTCCCGCACGACCCAACCAGGGCCGGGGACAAACTGCAACCGAGGTACGTGCCCTTAGCGGGAACCGAACCTGGGTCTCTCTGGACCTCAGGCCAATGCTCTAACCGCTGAGCCAAACTGACCAGGGCTATTTCAGCAGTTTTTATCAACTAGCACTTCCATTAATTTATGCTTTCCTCTATTCTTATTCACCCAGTAAATGACCCAATTCCACTTAAAACATAAATACCAAATATACCACCAAATAGAATGGACTCATTACGTCATTATCCTGGCTTAGGTTGAATTTCCTAGAAAACAAACTGAAGCAGAGGCTGGGGGTATTGGGGAACGCTCTAGGGAACACCTGGAGGAAAAGGAAGAAGGCAGCACTAGGCAGAGGAAAGGTTGAACTGTGATGCCTTTACAAACAGAGGCCTTAGCCAGTTTTGTGAGGAACTTTGGAGCTGGAATGTCCTTCAGAGTTGTCCCTTATGAAGGCAAGGGGGTGGGCATTTGTGCTTTCCCCATCACCTAGTCGCTGGACATGGGCCAGCTTTGGGAAGAGGTGTGACCATGGGTAAGACAGCACCCTTGGCCTGGGCCGTTCTTGCAGAGGGACTTGACCATAACATCCCCTACCATATTCCCAGCAGAGAAAGCTTTGTCCTGAAGGGGTGTTCTGGCCACATCCCATAGTATCCACTTCCATACCCTTTAACTTTCCCACTAGTGTTCTAGGTCAGTGTGCCCACTAGGGAGTGGGTTGGGAGTGGTTGCTAATGGTATCCAGGGGTAAAGACTAGGGATGCTGTTCAACATCCTAAAATGCACAACCCCCTCTCCCCACCAAAGAATTCTCTGGCCAAAAATGTCAGTAGTCACACTGCAGAGTAACCGTTTTCTAATTGTAGGGATTCAGGTCTAAGCCTCACGTGGAGTCAGTAAAATTCCTTAGGTTGCTTTCAGTGTGAGCCACAACCCAGCTCTGTACTACGCTTTCACTCGGGCGACGAGAGTGTGGTGAGGAACACAACTGTGCTTTCCACACCCCCATCTCCTCTGCTTTGACCCTGTCTCCACCGCCCCCACCGAGTTCCGGGGAAACGGTCACAGAATAATACACACAGTAAGTTAGAGTCTATTAAACATTGTCATCTTTGCTCTGTAAATGTTCTAAAATTAAAGAATTCTTATGTATTTGGTACTCAACTGAGTGGGACTGAGGACATACACGATTGAATAATTTAATTAACTAAAATATAAGCTTGTCTCCTGAAGATAGATGAAAATGTATGCTCCCCCAAAGGTGATCTCCTGCTTCTCTTAAATTTTCTTGTTTTTATAAATTACATTCTGTGGGGATCATTATCCTGATGCAGAGCAGTCTCTTAAATATTAAATTAAAATATTGTAACAAAGGATGTTCCCCTCGTGAGGTATAGTAATTAAATACTACTATATTTGTGCCATTGAGTAATATACTTTTAAAAACATCTGAGAGTTAAGCTAACCCTTCAGTTAAGTTTATTTTTCCTTTAAATTTATTTATAGAGCATAGTCTGAAAGTCAGGGTTAGAGAAGCCAATGATTTACTTCTTCAAATGGAAATTTACTGCTCATGAAAGACGCCGATTTAACAAGTCAGGGGTCAGAGTCTTCCTCTTACAGATAAGGGTCCTGTGTCCTCCGTGCTGCAGGCGCACCGTCCAACCTACTGTTCCTTCTGCATCCCAATGTGCATTTGCTTTTTTAGTGATTAAAGATATGACTCTTCATAAATCATTCAGTTACTTAGTGATTTCTTTATCTCACTGCTAGATTGAAGGTGATACAGCCTCAAGGTAAAAGATCTTTAACCTCCTTTTGCACTTCTTCCAACCAGTTATTTCTCACTTCTATTGTACGTATACATATGGTTGTCACTTAGTAATGAACTTTCTATACCTGGTCGTACTGAATTACTGGAGGAGACACTTGTGCCCCCACTGCCTTGGCACCTCAGTGGGGTTCAGCAGTGATGCAGGAGGGCAGGAAGGTGCTGGCTCTGAGGCAGCCTGCACTTAACAGATGTGTGCATCTGTCCAGGTACAGCCCTGCAGGCCTAGTGATTTCATGGCCTTCAAACCAAAAATTTTCGTTTTGGTTAAAATATTTGAGAAATATTTTCCATTCCAATTGCTTTTTTCTTCTGTGAACAAGATTTCCCCATGAGATGTCTATGGACACTTCTGGTAGAATGATTTCTTATACAGGATGGGCAAAAATAGTTTTGCAGTTGTTCGAATGGAAAATAATACAATAATTAATGAATAGTAATACAAGAATAAATTGTTTCACGTACTCACAACTTTAAACCTACCATTGCTCACCCCATATGCTGATTTGTGTTATTATTACTTTATGCTTTAGCAAAGCAAAATATGTATATATTTAGATGCAGATATCTCATTGCCTCTCTAATTTTATTTTATTTTATTATTATTTTTAATCCTCGTCCAAGGATATTTTTCCATTTCTCTCAGAGTAGGAAAGAGGGAGGGAGGGAGAGAGGAAGAGAGAGAGAGAAAAGACACATGGACTGGTTGCCTTTCACAGGACCCCAGCCAGGGCCAGGGACGAACCACAACCAAGTACGTGCCCTTGACCAGAATCAAACCCAGGACTCTGGTCCTCGGGCCAACGTTCTGACCACTGAGCAAAACTGGCCAGGGCTGCCTCTCTGATTTTAAAGTTTACTTTCCTTTACCAATGCCTGAATGAAACACTTTTCAAAGTGTCTGACTCCTGTTTGTTTGTTTGTTTGTTTTATCCCCTCCTCCTTGCTCCCACCTCCCTCCTGCGAAGTGTCTCACTCTTCACAACTATATTTGTTGTGTGCCTCTGTGAGCTGGGTACTAAGCTAGGTCTTCCACATGGATATTTCATTGAGCTCTCACAACAGTCCTGGAAGTGGGCACGCTTACTCCTATGATTCTACAAGTGAGTATATTGGAATTTAGAGGCATCTATCAATTTAGGTGTTTATTTGACATCCCACTTCAATGTCAGTATTTAAACTGTTAATAAAAAATTTAGCCCTGGCCGGTTTGGCTCAACGGTTAGAGCGTCCGCCTGCGGTCCAGAGAGACCCGGGTTCGGTTCCTGCTAAGGGCACGTACCTCGGTTGCAGTTTGTCCCCGGCCCTGGCTGGTCGTGCGGGTGGCAGCCACTTGATGTGTCCCTTTCACATCGATGTTTCCCTCTCTCGCTCTTCCTCTCTCTCCCTCCCACTCTGTCTGTACAAAAAATGGAAAAATGTCCTCGGATGAGGATTAAAAAAAAAAAAAAAAATTAAACATTTTTCTTTCTCTTCTTGTCCCCTCTGAGAAGTTGTAGTTCCTCCTCTAATCAATCCAGGGGACTGAACTTGCTGTAGTGCAGTCAGCATGAAGCGGCCTAACGGATTCATAGTTGCTAAGACCTGGGAAGCAATCCTTACAATACCCTCAACAGGTTTCTCTCATCAAGTGGCTCACACGTCAGGCCGCTCTGTGTCGTTCTCGCAGGTCATGGAGGGGCTGTTCAAGTCTGCAGCAGCGGCGGTGCTCTCCAGCTGTCCCGAAGACGTCGCGCTCTGCCACAGGGTCCTGGCTCCCGGCCAGAAGGTATTCCTTCTGTGGAGAACCCAGTGCATCCACGCTTTAAATATGTTATTGCATATCACATGTATAATTACCTTGAATAATACATTTTCTTTTTTCTCTTTTCTTACCAAGGACAGATTAGAACATATGCTAAAAAACAACTTTTTAATGTAAGTAGATATACTTTCTCTGAACTTGATTCATACTTTATCATCATATTTATCACACTGTATTAAATTTATATATTTGCTTATCACATGCCCTAGATTCAAGGAAGTCCCATGTTTTAATTATTTTTATAGCTTTTGTGTCTGGTTAATAGTCAATAATAAATGTTTCATAAATTAATGAATGGATGAAAAATGAACACAGTAATTATCAACTGTATTAATGCAATTCAAACTAATACTAACTTTAATCAAAATTTGGCTTATTAAAAAACAAACATAATATATGTAACATCTGTCTATCAGTTTTTCTCTTTCAGTCTTCCTTTTTCTTCTTTACCTTCACTTGCTAAAATCTGATAATATATTCTAAACATTCTTGCCACTTTTTTAAAAGCATAACGCATATATTATTGCTTTATTTCCATTATAATTCTATTCAAGTAGTACTTGATGATATTGGACTGGTTGTTTATTTCACCAACCATATTAATCAGGTATATAAAAGAGTATTCCATGTATTTACAGTGTGTATAGGAAGTAAGTTGGATACTAGAGGAGTAGAAAATTGTTTCTTAAAGTAAATTGATATCTCAATTCTTCACTTGCCATCTTTAGGTTTAGGAAGTTATTGTTCTAAGAAAGATTTCAACCTGTCCTTGAGGAGGGGAATAAAAAAACTTGGCAGATTGACTGAGTCAAAAATTTTGGGTGTCAGCCTAGACCCTCAGGCTACCAGTTAAAAGTGATGAGTCACTGAGCCTGATGCTTGGCAGGCAGCAGAGGTGGGATCAGAGGAGGCGATAGTCAGCAGTCCTGTGACAAAGAATCAAAAGGTAATGAAGTAAGTGTAAATGAAGGCTTTGGGTTTTTTTTTTTGTTTTTTCCACTTAAATTTATATTGAATACTTACAATGTGCCAGGCATTGTTCTAGAATCTAAACACTGTCTCTTTTTTTCTGCTTCTAAGTTATTAACATGACTTTTTGAAAACAAGCATCCACACCAGTGTAGGAGACGGGAGTGGGAGGAGAGGGGACGGGAAGGGAAGGCAGGGCAGAGGGAAGAAATTCTGCTCTATTGGTAATAAAGCTCCGGGCTCATCCCATGATGGATTTCATAGTCCCTCAGAGAACTGTGCTCCTAAAAAATCACGTACCACTTCTTAGGACAATCTTGTTCTAATGGGTACCAGTTTGGGCTGCAGTCAGCCTCTTAAGGTCCCCAGTGGTGTCATGAGTGTTACACTTCACGGGAACCTTCGGCCTAAGACGGGTAATTACAACCTCCATCATCCCATCTGGAGCTGGAATCGCCTAGGACCTACTGATGCCACAACCTCCTCGCCTGAGAGCAGACCCAGGGCCTTGAAAATGGTGTCAACGCAGAGAACAAAGCAGACAAAGTGCCCTGCCTTCACTGAGCTTACATTTCTGGTGGAGGATGAAAATAGCAAAGAAACAAGACAAGTAAAAATGTAGTCTGTGAGAATGAATAGTATTCAGAGGGAAAACCCAGAGACAAGAAAGTAGATAAGAGAAGACAAAAGAAGAATGAGGAGGTAAAAGTTTTAGATATTGTAGCAAAGAAGATCTCACTGAGGTGTTTTTTGAGTAAAGATCTAAAGAAAGTGAAAGAACTAGTTGTATGGATATTTGGAAAAAGAATATTCCAGGCAGAGGGAATAGCAAGTACAAAGGCCCTGAGGTTGGAGCATACCTGATGTGTTCAAGTAATAGTGAAGAGTGAATAAGGGAAGAGGATAGTAGAAGATAGAGTAGCAAGGGAGGAGAGGGTTGGGAAAATCATTTGCGGCCTTGTAGGTCACCATGAGGAGTTTGGGTTTGTACTTGGATGAGGTGGGGAAGCTGTTGAAGGGTTCCAGAGGGTTGACAAGATCTGAACTGGACTTAACAGGATCACTCTTGCTGCTTGTTGAGAATAAGCTGTAGTAGGACAAAAGTGAGAACAGAAAACCAACTAGATTATTACAGTCATCTAGGTAAGACATGTTCTGGACCATGTATTAGGGTTCTCCAGAGAAAGAAGACCAACATAGTGTATATATAAAAAGATTTATTTAAGAAGTTAGCTTACCCAATTTGAAGGCTTGACAAGTTTCAGGTCTGATGAAATCTCCAGTAGTCCTGGAGACACAGGAAAAAGTTGCAGTTAAAATCCAAAGGCAGTCTGCTGGTAGAATTCCTTCTTGGCAGAGGCCAGTATTTGTTCTATGAATGCCTCTGACTGATTAGCTGTGGCCCACCCACATTATGTAGTGTAATCTGCTTACAGATTTAAATGCTTTGTTGAGTTCACTAGAAAGTAAGAGAAGTTCCAGGAGCTAGAAATGAAGAGGGAACTGAACACCAGAAGGATGTTCATTAATGACACGATGCTGAGGATTCTCAAGGTGGAGATACATGGAGGGGGGTTTGCCAGTCTTTGAAACCAGAGATTTTAACAGCCATAGGGGGACATGACAGTACACCTAGTCATGATGAATTAGAATTGAGATACTTCCAGAAATAACACACACACAAGATACCATGTGACTATATTCTCTTCAATAGATTTCAGTGTATTGTTGACTACTTGTTATAATTGTTTCATGTAAAAATATATTACTTAAAGGATTTATGTAGTAGTTTAGCCTTTATCAAGCAGAAATAGAATTCATTTATTTTACATTTCCTTTATGGTATGGAGGTTTTTAAAATATAGAATTCTTACCTTTTTATTTGCTTTTTGTTTATCTGTGTGACTTTGAGGCAGAGAATGGTAATAATTGTCTCATTAGCATAGCAGTTTTACTCCAACAATTTCATAATAATTTTCTTCATTCAACAGTAAAACATTTGAAACATGAAGGTATTTTGATACTGTATCATGCAATTTCACAGTGTCTTCTCCTCCTTTCCTCAAAGCACTTTGGAAATAGTGTCTGGGAGGGAGAAGAAATATTCTCTATACATGTCAAGAAAAATTAGTAGAGAGGGTTGATAAAGGCCATTAGGGAGGGATATCCAGTATCAGAACTGTAATTTGAACTTGAAAGCTGTGCCTCAACTTAAGGTGTGGGGGGAGTAGGGCAAAATGTCCAGAATAACAAGAGACATTCGGACATGAGAGTCATTTTTCTTAATAATAGAACAGTAACATAGCAATAACATAAAATCCTTTTTGATTGATCTTATTTTTTCAATGTAATGAGTAGATCATATCAAGTAATGATGGAGCAGAATAGGATGTCTAAGCAGAAAAGAACTTTAGGTAACATAGTTTAATCTCCTTTTTTTACAAGTGAAAACACTTAATTTTTAATGTCTGCATAGCACATCACAAACATTTGTAAAGTGCCCCCATTCAGGTGTGGTGGTTTACATAGCCGGAAGTGGAAGTGGAGTCAGGGGAACAAGTTCCTGTTTTCACTGGCATAGGAGACTCCCCGTGGCTTAGGCATTATCTTCACAGAAGCTTGAACTCTGGAGTTAGCATTTAGGATTTACTCGTCACTTACATGAATCGTTTTTGGCAAGTTATTGATCCTCTCTAAGCTTCAGTTTTCCTTGTGTAAGATGCTTGTTTAAAAAGTATGCTTACTGCCAATGCCAGCACCATTATCACCTGAGAAATTACCTGTTATTCAATACTAGATTTTAAATTTTTTTTTTTCCTTTATTGATTTTAAAGAGAGAGGGAGAGGGAGAAAGAGAGAAACATTGATGAGGGAGAACATCGATTGGCTGCCGCCTGCATGCCCCCAACTGGGGATCAGGCCCACAACCCAGGGCCTGACTGGGAATCGAACTGGCGACCTCTTGGTGCATGGGTCGACGCTCAACCACTGAGCCACACCAGCTGGACTCAATACTAGATTTTTAATTTGAGTAGAATTCTCATCTTAGGAAAACTTATCACTCAAAATATAGCTTTGGGGGCTTTATTTGCACTGTAAGATACAACTCTTTAGTTATTATAGTATGAGCTTAATTTTTGTTTCAGAGAATAAGTTTGTGGTGGGTAAGTTATTTTTTGAGCTCAGAGTTCTTGAGGAACTTTGTAGATTTTTGTTTTTAATCATGCAAAGTGCCGCTGCAGAAGACCTGGGGAAACTGACATTTCATATAATATTGGTGGACATAAATTGGTGTAACCCTGTAAAAGGGCAACAATACCTTTGGCAATATCTTTCAAAATATGTAAAACTGCAAATGCAAAATACCCTTTCATCCAACAATTTACTTTTTTTCATTTGCAAAATTAGTGTATAAGAATCATTTATAGTATAAAATAGATATATGTAATCATGATTTATAATAGCAAAACTGGAAACAGCTGAACTATCTGTCTATCAGTAGATGACTGGTTAAAACTAACTAGGATCCATCCACAAAATAGAATATTATGTGATCGTTCAAAAAATGAAGAAGCTTTTCATATACTGATATGGAACGATCTGCAAGGTATATTTTTGAGTAATAATGATGTAGAAGAGTGTGTATGGTTTGTGTATGCTATGGCTACCATCTAGTTTTAAAAAGGGAGATTGGCCCTGGCCGGTTTGGCTCAGTGGTTAGAGCGTTGGCCTGCGGTCTGGAGAGAACCGGGTTCGGTTCCCACTAAGGGCACGTACCTCGGTTGCAGTTTGTCCCCGGCCCTGATTGGGTCGTGTGGGTGGCGACCACTCGATGTGTCCCTTTCATGTCAATGTTTTTTTCTCTCTCTCTCTCCCTCCCACTCTATCTGCACAAAATATCAAAAGAAAATGTCCTCCTCAGGTGAGGATTAAATAAATAAATAAATAAATAAATAAAAATAAGGGAGATTGTATATTAATATTTGCTTTATAGATGTATAAAACCCTCTGGAAGGGTACCCAGAAAACCACTAACAGTGATTGTGTGAGGAGAGGAACTAACTAGGTAGCAATGGGACAGGGTGGAAAGGAGACTTATACTCTTTTATACATCTTGATTTAAAAACAAAAAAACAAAAAAAAAAAACTGTGTGCATATATTACCTACTGAAATAGTTCATATACATTTTTGGCTTGGTTTGTTTCAGGCATGAGGATTTCTCACTGAAGTAACCAATGACATTTTTCCTAAACAGTCTTAATGCTTAGAATATATTACAGAGGCCTTACCATGGCCTGAAAGGTTCCTAGGCCTGAGCTGTGACTACCTTCCCTAATTTCCTGGCATCCTTCCCCTTGCCCAGTATACTGCGGTCACACTGACCTTTTCACTCCTCGAAGGAGCCAGGCTTAGGCCTTACTTCAGGCCTTGTACCCACTGTTCCTTTTGCATGGAACACTTCCCCCAGATATTTATATGTTTTGTTTCCTTACTTCATGTAGGTTTCCCTTAAGATGTAGGCAACTCAGTGAGGCCTTTCTTGACCATCTTTTCTAACATGGCACCCTCAAACATCCTCTCTTCTTACCTAGCTTTATTTTCGTCATAGCACCAATAGCTCCCTGGCATCATATTATTTCTGTTTATTTATTTTTCTCTCTACTCCCCATTCATACCCCCATCTCCCTCCCTCCTCTCTCTCTCTCTCTCTCTCTCTCTCTCTCTCTCTCTCTCTCTCACACACACACACACACACACACACACACACACAATATCTCCAAAAAGGCAGGAGCTTTATTTTGTATTTACTGTATCTCTAGTGTGTAGAATAGTGCCTTTCACAGAGTAGGTGCTCAATATGTTTGTTGGGTGAATGAATGAATAAATGAATTATAGCTTTAAGGAAAGATTTTTACTCTTGTGCCTTTTATTATGGCATTGACATAGCATGAATTCAGAGAAAATATCTATTGCTTAAGTGACTAGTCTTCTGTGTACTTTGCAAGTAGATCAGGACTGGGGTTATTTAATGGCCACTTCTCTTCATGCTGATTGGACTCTCATAGGATTAGGTAAACCTTAATCCCTGATTGCTCAGTAATCATTTAATACTCATTTATGATCTCAAAGACTGTATGGTAATAAACCTTTTCTAGTTTTCAGATGGGCTATTTAACAACAGCCCATTGTGTTAACCTGTCTCTGCTTTTACCATTTCTCTCCAGCATTTCTTATACTGAAGCAGTGGAGATCTTACAGCAAGCATCCCAGAACTTCACCTTCACCCCAGAGGTAGAGAGAGAGAGAGTGTGTGTGTGTGTGTCCAAATATGTTTTCCTCGTCCTAATCTTACTATTATTTAAAATAATCACATTTCTCTTAGCAGTGTGCGGGATTAGTTCATCTGTACCTTGGCTTTTTTTGATGTTTGCTAAATCTTGTTGAAATATTTTAATGAAAAATAATTTTTAAGTAGAATTATATAATTTAGAATAGCAGTGACTAAAGGGTTATAAAGAAGTTTCCCAAGTTTAGGAAGATGACAGTCCTTAAAGAGGATGGTAATCAGACTATTAGTGTAGAACTCAACTCATTCAGTGAGTACTTCCCAGAGTGTATTCTGACTGATGTTAACAGGTGACAGACAAAAGAGATTAAGTGATCAAGTAAGTTTAAGCAACACATTAAACAGGTGTTCGCTTTTTTCTGTTGAACTTTATAGAGTTTTCTAATTTGTGAACCACTCTGGAATACACTGAATTGTTTTGGGTTTTGGGTTTTTTTTTAAAGAACTCCTTTGTTTTATTGGCAAGGGCATGTGTCCAGGGAGGCCACGTGACTCACTGCGAGGGTGCACAGCATGTCAGACAGTCTCCTTGCTCCTCCGCCAGCACTTCTTCCCCGTCGTTAAGGGACTGCGGGCAGTGGGAGTAGTAAGAGCATGTGAAGAATGTGATACCTTTGTCCTCAGACTGTTCCTGACACTGGTCCCAACCCCAGTTAAGTCAGATCCTCTTATACGTTATAATAGTACCCTCTCCTTGTTGTACTCATAATCAGTTAATTTTTTGTATAATTTTGTATATAGTGTTTTTTCCTACCCTGGAAGCTTCATGAAGTTAAGGATTCTATTTTTCTTACCACTATATTCAATACCTAGCATGGTACCTGAGATTTAACAGACACATTATTATTTACTGAATAAATAGATGAACAGTGTTATTAATTATTCATCAATGAACATCTGATATATCAGTTGACTCTTTTATTAAAAAAAAAAAATTCACTGAGAGAAGCCATCTAGCCAAAGATAGGCTCAATATTAGAAATATTATCTTTCATCATTTAATTTCCTGAGACTTAGAACAATAACTGTAGAAGCAGCTCAGGGCAATAGTAATAAAACTATGATTCCGAGGTCAGTTTTTGTACCCTGTGGATAGCAAGCTTTGTTTTCCTGCAGATGCTGTTCATCTGCCGAATGCTGCTCCCTGAGACGGGGACACAGAGCGTGGTGTTTGTCTGCTAGCTTCAGCTTTTGTCTCTCCGGGCCTTCGGATGTGCTTGCTAACACATACCTCTGTCTAGTCCTCTAGTTTAGTGACCTGGGTAACCTCAGCAGACAGCTCCACAGATCACTCATCCTCAGGGGGAGCACTGATACGGGTTATTTTCAGGTCCTGCACTGTATATTTCAGCTCTGTGTTCTCCTGTGATAATTTTTTTTCCTCATTGCAGTGGGGTGCTGATCTACATACTGAACATGAAAAGTACCTGGTGAAGCACTGTGGCAACATACCAGTCTTTGTCGTTAATTATCCATTAGCACTCAAGCCTTTCTACATGAGGGACAATGAAGACGGGCCTCAGCACACAGTAAGGAGAAACTCTAAATAAGGGATTCGTCCTCTCGGAGCCTGGCTTTTCCCCTTGGCTTAATTTTGTTTATCCTTTGGCATATGTTCTTAAATTAAATCTGTCACTTTACAGGTCTTGATAGAGTTTTTCAAAGGCATCTCTAAAAAAGTGTCCCTAAGAAGATCTGTTTTCTATAAACATACTCCCTCCTTTTTATGGCAGAGGTGTCCTTAATTTAGCAGATGCAAATGTAGGTGTGTTGTGTTGTGTTGTGTTTTGTTTTGTTTTGAATAACTGAAAGGAAATAGCCTCGAGCACTATATAGGGTGCCTGGCCTACTGTCAGGTTAAGACTGGGTAGGAAACGACATGGTGGGGGAGTGTGCTGGGCAGGAGATGACGGCCCAGGGAGCACGAGCCGGCCGAGCCGAAGGCTGGCAGGTGGAAATAGTGAGCAAAGGCTCTGGGGAGTCCACGAGGTCTGCAGACTCTGCCAGTTCTCTTCTGTCTCTGTTCTCTGTAGCCTTTCTTATCTCTGTTGTTGTTTTAATCCTCACCCGAGGATATTTTTCCACTTGGCATCAGATAGAGTGAGAGGGGAAGGGAGAGAAACACCGACGTGAGAGAGACACATCGATTGGTTGCCAACTGCACAGCCCTGACCAGGGCAGGGGACCAGAGTGCACCCAAGGTACGTGCCCTTGAGCAGAATCGAACCCGAGACTCTTTGGTCCACAGGCTGATGGCCTATCCACTTAGCAACACCAGCCAGGGCTTTTGTTCTTTTTTCACTATTGACTTTAGTTGCTTTTTTTATTCTTCTGGCTTACTTTTTTTTTGTTTTGTTTTCTTCTTTGCTCCTTTACAAAATTATCAGTGTGTGAAGTAAGGATACATTTATTGAATAGTTATATACATAATATAATTAATTGTAAAAGCCTATGATACAAATAGATTATGTTTATCTCCAAAAAGGTCCCAAAACTAAACTTTACTATTTTGGTGCTTTTCTTGTCTTGAGATAAATGCCAGTAGAAAAATGTAGATCAGGGCTCTCCAGTAAATAAAATATCCCCATCTTAGGGTACACCAGGTTATCTCTTTGAATGTATTTCCTGTTCCCTCTTACAGTATTACTAAAACAATAGTAGCCACCAACTAGTGGATTCCTATGAGGCAGGCATTACCATCTCATCTCTGCATCCTTCCGAAACTTCCATTGCATTTCCCAAGGCCACAGAGGTCGTAAGTGACAGAGTTAGCATTCCGACCTGACTGCCTCTGGCTCTGAGGTCTGTTCTTCCCCAGCTGTCTCACTGCCTCAGAATCACAAACATCCAGGGACACGTCAGCCATCGACTTAACTGATCCCCTCCTTCCACACAGCATTGTCCACATCCAGTGAGCAACACAAGTGATTTATGATTCTTATTTTTTTCTTTTCCCTGTTAACCCTCTGGTATAATGGACTTTGAGAAATGAATTGGCTTGGCAGCAAAAAATAAGAGAGAGTAGGGCATAGATTATTCAATCCTAAATAATTCATTGTTAAGCCTGCATCACAAAACAGAGGATTATGCCTGTGTCTCTTGGCTTTTTATCACTCCACCCCATCCCAGTCCCACCCCCACCCCCGTGTGCGAGCGCGCACACGCACACATACACACACCATGTGTCATTTCCCTAGACTGAGCACTTTTCATTGATTCAGCTTTGCACTTCTTAAATAACCTGCTTAAGGCTTTCCTTCTCTGTGAAGACTTTCCTGGATTACCCAGTCACCTTGAGCCTTCCTTTTCTGGATTTCCATAGAATTTAAAGGATTTGTAAAACCGATAGCATTATGTCTATTTTTTGTAGCCTCTGCGTAAGTTTTGCGTTCTCAAACAAAATTCTTTTTTTTTTAATCCTCACCTGAAGATATTTTTCCATTTATCTTCAGATAGAGTGGGAAGAAGGGAGGGAGAGAGAGAGAAACATCGACTTGAGAGGGACACATCAGTTGGTTGCCTCCACACAACCCCAGTCAGGGCCAGGGCCAAACTGCAACCCAGGTGCGTGCCCTTGACTGAATCGAACCCATGACTCTTTGGTCTGCGGGCCGACGCTCTAACTGCTGAGCCAAAGCAGACAGGGCTCAAACGAAATTCTTAGCTTTTTCAGGATGGCGAGTGAGTTTTGGTAACTACCATGGCACCTGCAGTTCATTGCTCCTTCCCTCGATGTAACTTCTACTCCATCATTGTCACTGAAGCAGCACTAGAGTCAGTAGTAGTTGTCATGTCATTCAATCCAACAGACTTAAAAGTCTTTATCTGACTTCACCTCTCACATTATTCAGCAGTGTTGTTGACTTTCTTATTCTTTTTTTTTTTTTTTTATCCTCACCCGAGGACATCTTTCCATTTTTTGTACAGATAGAGTGGGAGGGAGAGAGAGAGAGAGAGAGAGAGAGAGAGAGAGAGAGAGAGAGAGAGAAACATCGACGTGAAAGGGACACATCGAGTGGCTGCCACCCGCACGACCAACCACGGCCGGGGACAAACTGCAACTGAGGTACGCGCCCTTAGCGGGAACCGAACCCGGGTCTCTCCAGACCACAGGCCGACGCTCTAACCGCTGAGCCAAACCGGCCAGGGCGACTTTCTTATTCTTAAAACTTTCTCTTCTCTTGGCTCCTTTGACATCACATTCTGCCAGTTCTGCCCCTTCTCGGTGGGTTATTCTTTCTCAGTCTCCCAGGCGGGTTCTCCCTCATCTACTAATCCATTCGATGTTGGAGTTCCTCAGGCTCCATCCAGGTCTTTCCTCTCCACAGGTGATTTCATCTGTACCCACAGTATGCTGTTTCTTTTCAGACAACTCAGAAATGTTTGTCTCTAATCCAGATTTCTCTGAGCTCTGGGCTCATATTTCCATTTACATCTCAGAAGCATCCCAAACTTATTAACATAACCAAAACTGACCCCATGAGTGCTAATCTCCCGTTCTGCCACCGGATTTGATCTTATTTTCTTATCCTGTGTTCATCTGATTGTACAAGCCTGGTAACTGAGTCCTTTTCAAAATGTTCATCTCTTTGGCTTCCCATATTCAAGTTATTTCTAATTCTATCATTTTTATACTCCTAAATGTATCTCAAATGTATCCACTACTCTTCACTTCCACTTTTACTTTCTTAGATTAAGACATTATTTCTTGCCTGGACTACTTTAGTTTGCCGGTATCTACTGGCTGGTCTGCCTGTATCTACTCTTTGCTCCTCTGGGTCAGTTCTCCCCGTTTCAGCATGAGCTTTTAGAAAATGGAAATCTGATCATCTTACCTCCCATCTTAAAGCCATTCAGTGCCCCCCTCACTCTTTATTATTATTATTAATTTGAGAGAGAGGAGAAATGTCGATTTCTTGTTCCACTTTTTTGTGGATTTACTGGTTGATTCTTATGTATGCCGTGACTGGGGATCAAATCTGCAACCTTGGCATATCAGGACGATGCTCTAACCAACTGAGCTACCTGATGAGGGCTGGCCTCCCTCTGCTCTTAGGATAAAATTCAGAATTCTTTGCATGGTCCACAAGCCCAGGGCAGTCTGGCTGCTCCTGTCTCTCTTGCCTTGTGCCTTGGGGTGCTCCCCTTTGCTCTCTCCGCTACATCCACACTGCTCTTCCATGTCTTCAGACATGCAGTTCTTTCTCTCGCCAAAGTGTCTTTGTACGTAGTGTCCCTCAGTCTACAGCATCTTCTTCACCTAAGTAATTTTACTTACTGTCCAGATCTCCCTGCAGTCATCGCTTTCCCGGAGAAACCTTCCTTGACCTTCCAGACCGAGTCAGACACCCGTTAGACACTACAGTGGTGCCGCACTAAATGTCAGACCCAGCTCTACCAACCCTCACTTCGTCATAACCCTTAGCACAGTGTTAATTTTACAATTATTTGTGTAATTATTTTTTTTAATCCTCACTCAAAGATATTTTTCCATTGATTTTTTTTGTTTGTTTGTTTGTTTTTAAGATAGAGTGGAAGGGAGGGAGAGAGAGAGAAACATCAATGTGAAAGAGACACATCGATTAGTCGAACCTGCAACCCAGGAATGTGCCCTTGACTGGGAGTCGAACCTGAGACCCTTTGGTCTGTTGGCTGATGCTCTAATTGCTGAGCCAAAAGAGTCAGGGCAGTATGACTATTTAATTACAGACTCTTTCCTCTATGCCAAAGGCCTTGAGAACATCTTTTTCTCTCATGGTTGTATTCCTACCCTAGTGCCTAGCATGAAGCCTGGGACATAGCAGGCACCTCATATGTATCTGGTGATGGATAGGAGTCTGGATGGATGGGTGGATTGAGCCCAACCCAGTTTCAGACACACAGTGGACAATTAAGGAGTGAGTGACTTGATTTGTTAGGGAAATTTCTGGGAAACTAAAGAGCAGCTTTTACTCTAATTTTTTTGAGTGATAGCAACATGGTATAAAGGAACATCCAGCCCTGGCCAGTTTGGCTCAGCGGTTAGAGCGTCGGCCTGCGGTCGGGAGAGACCCGGGTTCGGTTCCCGCTAAGGGCACGTACTTCGGTTGCAGTTTGTCCCCGGCCCTGGTTGGTCGTGCGGGTGGCAGCCACTCGATGTGTCCCTTCACATCGATGTTTCTCTCTCTCTCTCCCTTCCTACTCTATCTGTACAAAAAAAAAAAAAAAGGAACATCCAGTGGTTTTAAAACCAGACACTCTTGAGTTAAAGTCTCAGGTCTGTGAGTTACAAACTACATGACCTTAGATGAACCATCTAATTTCTTAGTTTCCCAGTCTGTAAAAATAAGGTGATAATATTTCCTGGAGTTGTGAGGATTAGATTAGGTAATATTTGAAAAATGCAGAGCACAGTGTTTGGGTTGGTAGGTAGTCAATAAATATGAAGCCCTATCTCCTTTCCTCCTAAATGTTGATAAAATCTTTGCTGTGATAAAGCACAATAATGTTAAAGTATTTGTGTGTGTGTTACCACATCATAACATGCCCT